AATTCTGTGAAAGACTGTGGGAAATTAAACCTACATAAAGGAATAGTTGGTAATCGAATCGTCTCAATTTTAAGAGATACAGGGGCGACGATCTCAGGTATACATAAGTCATTAGTGAAACCAGAGGATATGACTGATAAAGTGGTTAGATGCAGAACATTCGGAGGTAGAATAGAAAAATTCAGAATAGCATCAGTATGGGTCAAAACGCCATATACCACTAAGAAGATGGACATGGCTGTATTAAGTTCACCGTGTGCAGAACTTATCATTGGTAACCAACCAGGGCTGAAAGAGATGACAGATCATGAAATAAAACAGTGGGAGAAAGAAAACATACCTGAGATGACAGAAGAGGTGATGCTAACCACGCAGAGACAAGAGACAAATGCAGTCATGGAAGATAAAAGTGACAGTGTAAATCTGCAGGAAATAGAAAACGTTGCAGCAGTCACAAGGAGTGTAACAAAAAATCAACAAACTCAAGAGCACTCCGTAAACATGAACAAAGAACAAATACCAGTAACTACAGAAGATAAAAACAGATTTTGTCCAAGTCTATCAACAAACTACAAAAAACAAGTAAATTTACTAATGCAGTGGCTAGTAACATTAATTGTGACAGTGTTAATGTCAAGTGTTAATTGTTGTGTTAAATATGTTAGGAAAGCTGCAATATTAAAGTATCAGTTATTCACAATGCAATTGAACAGGAAGCCAACAAAATTAAACTGTGATCAGGGAAAAATAATAAAAAATAAGTTTCGAGCAAGAGGCATTAAATATTGTGATCAGTTTAAAAAAAAAAAAAAAAAGATAGAATTTCCTAATTAGAAAAGAATTTACAGTCATTACAGGTAAAATTGCAGAACATAAATGCTAATGACAACGCTAGTTTACCATTAGCCATTGATAATACAAAAGTTTAAATTTGATATTAGGCATGTTAAAGGTGTTAAAAATCACATTCCAGATATTATGTCTAGGTTATAAAGATAGTAAGCAGAAATAATCACAAGGGGAGTTAAATAAAAAAGGGAGATAATTATAGGTGACAAGTAAACAGAAATAATCACAAGGGGAGTTAAATAGAAAAGGGAGATAATTATAAGTAACAGTCTAACATTACTAACAAATGTTCAATAAACGTGTTGTTACTAACAGTTATGATGTGAAAGTGATAATGAGGAATGGTGTATGAATTCAAAATAACACTGAGGGATGGTGTATGAGTTCATAATAAAACAACAGACACATTAGGTTATAATAGAAATTTTATTAACAGTAAATTACAGATATAGAAATTTAGAAATATCTATGATATAGTGTACAAACAGAAAATGAAATTGCCACAATGCTAAAATGAGTAAATTCTGGCAAAGCTTTGGTATAAACCATGGTGAATGACGAAGACCAACAAGGAGTAGCAATCACTTTGAATGAACTGTCAACAGGAACTTGGTTCTATGGGGGACATACAGAACTGTGTGATTTATAAGTCTGGTTTTGGAGCCATTTTTGGACTTCCGCGTTGTTAAGGAACGCTTTGGGGTGTTGTTCAGTCTTCTTTAGGTAGACTGACTTCAGGACTTGATAAGTACGTCACAGAGCCTATAAGGTCATCCGCGTTGTTGAGGAACGCTTTGGGGAGGTGATTCTGTTAGCATATTGCCAAGAACTGTCAAGGGGAGTGACAAGAGATGCTGCATATGTGGTACAAGTCAGAGAACCAATGGTAGAATTCCAGCCAACAGTAAACATATTAGTAAAATAAGGCAATATATTCTTATATGGAAATTTATATAGGTTATGGGAAAAAAAATATTGCATATTTTTTTTGTTTAAGGGGAGGAGAGATGTAATGATGTTATAAATAGGGATAATGTCAGGGGATGATTGGCATAACTGGGGAAGTCCCTGAGAGCATGTGTTTCACGGAGATATGGTGAAACGACAGGAAAGAGTGTGTCACGTGTGAATGAGGAGATCTGGGGGATTGAGAATCAGGCGGGCATTCGGTGACTGGGCCCCAGAGAGAAAGGATGGAAAATGAAGCTGTGAAGATGAATGGAGAATGACTAGAGCATGTGGATTTGAATCGGCGAGGAATGAATGATCGAGAAGGCCAGCTGTGAATGGTACCCTGTTTGATTGTCAAAGCCAGCTGTGAATATGTCAACGTCTATTGTCCGAATGCTGTAAGTGGATTCACCTGTGATTTGTGTATTGAGCTAACGTGTAAATAAACTCGTGAAATGTGCCGCTGGTGTTAACCGTTGTTAGACGTTGTGTGACCATGAAGAGGATCATGTCTGCGTTGATTGAGTTGTGAACCTCTAGATATTAGAGCCAGTGTTAACTCTGCACCACAGATAGCCAGTGTGGAGGAGACACAAAAGGGCAGTCATTACAGCCTCCATAGGAGTCGGTCAGCAGCTGATCTCTCCCACTTGTCTATGTCAATGTTGGGATACTTCAGGTCACATTTCCATATGTCCTTACAGCGTAACCTTGGCCTTCCTGCCAATCTTTTCCCTGTTTCTAATTCACCATACAAGAGATCTTTTGGAATTTGACCGTCCTCCATGTAACAGACTTGTCCCAACCAGCACAGGCATCTTTGCTTCAGTACAACGTACAGTTGGCAATCTTGCAGTTCTGAGTACCCATTTATTGGGGACAATGTCCTGCCACGATATACTAAGTGTGTATCTCTGACAGCAAATGTGGAAAAGTATTCGCTCGGTTTTTTTGTCTCAAGGAGCAAACAGACAAGACTTACTGAGCAAGAAACATCCCCGTAAAGAGTAATCAGTCCTTTTCTGTTCAGCGACCACATCACGTGTGATTTAGGGACATCCCTTTTATAGGGGGGTTAGGGTTAGTAGTAGTCGCCATTTATTTAACACTAACCCTAACCCCCCTATAATATGGGATGTCCCTAAATCACATGTGATGTGATCGCTGAACAGAAAAGAACCGAGTCGTCCTGTCGCTTTCACATGCAGCTCTCTTCCTCCTTTTTTGTAGCTTCATTTTCTTCCTGTTTTTTTTTTTTTTTTTTTTTGGTCTGTCATTATTTGAACTCTGTGGGTTTCAGTACAAAGACATCCCAATAATACTGTTCTTAGGTTTTCTCAACCTGTGTCCAATCCAACAACATCATCATTTTCTCACCTCTTGATTCACTGGAATGTGTTGAATTCTCATCCACAGCTCCATTAGTGAGCATTCACACATACCTGACCACAAACAATGACAGCTGTTCAACTAGCATTAAATATAATAACCAACAAAAGGTGCAAATCAACAATGATAAGTATTTAATAGCGGATATTGAAACAGCTGAAGATAACTGTAAAGGGAAATCACCCAAAACTCTCATTCTACCAAGCAATAAGCCTTTCTGTATGTCTGAAAGATTTCCAGAAAACTACTTTTTCTTCTTACGATGTATTCAACATCAGTCATGCTAAACATTCCTGCCCATCTGGGTCACGAACAAAATGGTGCCTCTATGGTCCCCTCCGATCCCTTCGGCCAGATCCCCAACCTCGGCCAGAGGGCTGTCAGGGTAATGCTGTAGTAGAGTATATGCCCAGGAATCTTGTCTCCTTCACATCCACAGGTGGCAGATGCTTTTATTCCCACTCTGTGTTAACATATAACATACTACTACTTTTCGTCCTTCTTAGGACGTTTCTTTTTGTTATTTGAAGCCCCACTCTGGCTTTTGCCAGGGGCCGCAATATAGGCAGGTCATCATTATGGCCAAATGTCTGAACGCAGTTTCTGGGACCTCTCCACGGTGATCCTCATCCGCATGGTGGCACTTTGTGTCATCGGGTGTTTATCGCTTGTGTGATGTCCTGGTGGGGTAAAAAAAATCCAATCTAACATATAACATGACAAAAACACAACTTGCAGAGCATGAAACAGTTCAAAGGAGGAAGGGAATTAGCCGTACCTCCTCATGCCCTAGAATAATACGTCAAGGCCTAGAGTTTCACATCACAACTGTAACTTTTGTTAGCTTTTATTTAAACGAGGTTCATTAGTTTAGTTTTTGAAGTAACTGCCTGCTAAATTGGTGGTCTGGGGTGAATGTGTGGAAACTGAAGATCAGACAGCAACACTAACTGAAGTGTATGAGGCAGATCAACAAAAGACACGGAGAATTTAGTCTTATATGGGAAAATATTAGGCTGGACAGACAGGGAAAGACAAGGGAAGACGAAGAAAGATGTGTGTGAAAAGTTTAAACAGCCGGGGTGGGGAATAGCTAGGCCAGACAGAGGAAGACAGAGAATGATGTGTGTGGTAAGTTTTAACACCCGCACAAGTCACAATAATAATAAACCCCAGCATCTGTTAACTGTTTGTGGTTTTAGTCTGAAATGTTATGTTCAGTAGTTTGTCACTGCTTTCTGAACATCAACACTCACAACACTGCCTCGATCAACATTGCTGACCAGTTTCCAAAAGCTATCTTTTAATCTTGGTGTATTAGAATTATGAAGCTGCATTTATAACCCTTACGTCATACACTCCAGTTGTCTGCTTCTTCTTCGATCCTTCTGTCAGAAAACTTATACCAGGAGGCCGGTAGCCTTTATGAAAGCTATCGTGCAGTCCATATCTTCTCGTGCACCATACAGTTTTTTCTTCACTGTGGTTGGAACAGGCCAGATTGCGTCTCTAACTCAAGATGTGATACTACAAGTAAAATAATACCTGCTGCTAAAGTGTGTCAGTGATGAACAAACCAACAGACAAGATCATGTTTGCAGCTAAGACACCTGCTGCTAATGTGTGTCAGTGATGACCAAACCAACAGACAAGATCATGTTTGCAGCTAAGACACCTGCTGCTAATGTGTGTCAGTGATGACCAAACCAACAGACAAGATCATGTTTGCAGCTAAGACACCTGCTGCTAATGTGTGTCAGTGATGACCAAACCAACAGACAAGATCATGTTTGCAGCTAAGACACCTGCTGCTAATGTGTGTCAGTGATGACCAAACCAACAGACAAGATCATGTTTGCAGTAGAGACCCCTCTCTCCAGAGCCTGCACAGCTGCAGGGAAGTTATCCAACACAACATTTGTCAAGTGTGGATTTTCCGTAACCAAACTTCTCTTTGTGTCAGCACCTGAAGCCAGGAAGGCTGATATCTGTTCCCACTCAGGAAGAATATGGAAATCTGGCAGACTGTTAACAGGGGCTAATTTAAGGCCACAACAGCACTGTGTTGTTTCAATACCAGCAGTAGTAGTTTCCCTTCCTCTTGGAACTCTCCAGCAGTGAAGAGAAGCTAAGTCTACAAGTACATTCTCTGTGTCACGAGCGAGGGATCTGACCCAGCGATGGAGGCTGGATCGAAAAACTGCCAACGATAGGAGAACTTGGGTGTCTGTACATTCCATCTCCTTAGCCAGCATTGGTAAATCCTTTAATACCTGCAAGATTTGGCAAACAGTGACAGATTTAGTAGAAGACATAAGTTAAAATGTTCAAATGTCACATGTTAAATTATTTTGTGGAAACAAGCCTCCCACAGATCAATTATTCCTTAAATAACCAAGAAACACGAAGCTGTCTTCAGAAAATAATATAATGTGCGAATAAAATCTTAATGATCTTGTGCCTATGACTGTGGGTATGGCACTATGGTCATTTTTTTTTAAACCAACTGACCTAACAATATAAGTGGAAAGCTTTACATAAGGAAGGACACACACACACAAGTGCATGCACGCACATACACACATTTTTTTTTAAATCAATAGCTACTGAAAAGAACATAATGTTAAAATTTGACTAACCTGATCTCTGAGCATAAAAGAACATTTGACTAACCTGATGTCTTTAAGCATTATGGAACATTTGTCTAACCTGATCTCTGAGCATAAAAGAACATTTGACTAACCTGATCTCTGAGCATGAAGGAACATGGAACATTTGACTAACATGATCTCTGAGCATAATGGAACATTTGACTAACCTGATCTCTGAGCTTGTATGAACATGGATCATTTGACTAACCTGATCTCTGAGCATGTAGGAACATGGAACATTTGACTAACCTAATCTCTGAGGATGAAGGAACATGGATCATTTGACTAACCTGATCTCTGAGGATGAAGGAACATGGAACATTTGACTAACCTGATCTCTGAGGATGAAGGAACATGGATCATTTGACTAACCTGATCTCTGAGCTTGTATGAACATGGATAATTTGACTAACCTGATCTCTGAGCTTGTATGAACATGGATCATTTGACTAACCTGATCTCTGAGCATGTAGGAACATGGAACATTTGACTAACCTGATCTTGGAACATGTAGGAACATGGAACATTTGACTAACCTGATCTCTGAGCATGTAGGAACATGGAACATTTGACTAACCTGATCTCTGAGCTTGTATGAACATGGAACATTTGACTAACCTGATCTCTGAGCATGTAGGAACATGGAACATTTGACTAACCTGATCTCAGAGCATGTAGGAACATGGAACATTTGACTAACCTGATCTCTGAGGTTGTATGAACATGGAACATTTGACTAACCTGATCTCTGAGCATGTAGGAACATGGAACATTTGACTAACCTGATCTCTGAGCATGTAGGAACATGGAACATTTGACTAACCTGATCTTGGAACATGTAGGAACATGGAACATTTGACTAACCTGATCTCTGAGCATGTAGGAACATGGAACATTTGACTAACCTGATCTCTGAGCATGTAGGAACATGGAACATTTGACTAACCTGATCTCTGAGCATGTAGGAACATGGAACATTTGACTAACCTGATCTCTGAGCATGTAGGAACAATGAGCCTGCCAACATCCACCTCCTGCCAGCAGCCGTGGTTCCTTGGACAATGAGTATAGGCCTTGCAAACATGTCTGCACACAGCACTGAAACACAAGACATGGGAGGATTACAGTACAGGTCTTGCAGACATGTCTGCACACAGCACTGAAACACAAGACATGGGAGGATTACAGTAAAGGCCTTGCAGACATGTCTGCACACAGCACTAAAACACAAGACATGGGAGGATTACAGTTCCGGCCTTGCAGACATGTCTGCACACAGCACTAAAACACAAGACATGGGAGGATTACAGTTCCGGCCTTGCAGACATGTCTGCACACAGCACTAAAACACAAGACATGGGAGGATTACAGTTCCGGCCTTGCAGACATGTCTGCACACAACACTGAAACACAAGACATGGGTGGGGGGAGATTTACAGTATAGGCCTTGAAGACAAGTGTACACACAGCACTGAGAGAAACGCATGAAATGAGGGATTACAGTACACCTCAATATAATAACTGCGTCAGGGCCAATTTTCATGAACCTAGGGCTACTAGGTGGACCCAGCCTAAACTGGGTACCGAGACATGCTCTGGGAAGTAAAGGTGGCTTGCTGGATGTTGACCACATAACCAAGTGCTGACTGGTCTATGAAAGAATGCCTAGCACCATTTGCCTGATGCAACAATGGTGTGCTAGGGCTGTTTACTTTTACTTGACTTACAGCCCAGTTACAAGCCACGATCACAATGAGAGAATTACTACCTGTATGTTGAACCTCTTCTGCCCAGTATTCCACCACTGCAGCGTACGTCCTCAAATAACTCAGGCCAGCTCTTTTGCCAATTTATTTTCATGTTCTTTCCCTAAAATGCTGACCTCTGATTCTAATTCTCTTCTATAATGTTTCAGTCTAGCATCCCCAGGACCTCCATGTGTGAGTTGTAGTGCCCCATTTGGGGGGGGGGGGAGGGGGGAAGAACAGACCCACTGCCCTCCTACAAAGCATGTCACAAAAGACAGCTAATAAGGCGTATCTGCTTTATGTTGGAGCGCATCTGCCAGAGAGGTGAGGAACCAACAGTCTGCATATAAAAAAAGCTGTGTCTCTGAGGCAGTCAGAGCTGACAAAGATCAGTTTCACTTTCGTGCCAGGGTATGCAAGTGTGCAAGGAAATGAGCAAGCTGCTAGGCTTGCAGCTCAGACTAAGTGAAGGTCAGATAAGCCGTGGACCAGGCTGATAGACTGAATGAAGGTCAGATAAGCCGTGGACCAGGCTGATAGACTGAATGAAGGTCAGATAAGCCGTGGACCAGGCTGATAGACTGAATGAAGGTCAGATAAGCCGTGGACCAGGCTGATAGACTGAATGAAGGTCAGATAAGCCGTGGACCAGGCTGATAGACTGAATGAAGGTCAGATAAGCCGTGGACCAGGCTGATAGACTGAATGAAGGTCAGATAAGCCGTGGACCAGGCTGATTGACTGAATGCTCTACAAGAGATAAGATGTTTGGGAGAACCAAAGGATGACTGTGAATCTGCAACCATGACTAGACTGCAAGAACCGCAAGTTAAAAGGGGGGATGGCCACTATGCAGGAGGCCAAAGAAGAATTAGAAAGCAAGACAGAACTGGTGTCATCACTGAGGAGGGGATCCGAGCACTTATGGACTAAATGGTTTCAATGTGAAAGAAGGATAATCTGTTGACTTACTAACTATATAAATAAGTCAGATCTGTGAAACACACGTGCACATGAAACTGAAGTTGTGGAATAAAACTAAAGTCCAGATGTGGATAAACAACCAGAACTTACCGCTGGAGTTGACAGCCAGTGAACATAAAAATGATGAGGATGTCCACTCGCAGGTCATATTGTCATCCTTCTCTATGCTATCTCAGCTAAAAGCAAGGAAAACAAACACACCCACACACAGAAAGAGAGAGAGAGAGATAGAGAAAAACTGCCCTTTCTACCTTCAGCTCAGCAAGTCTGTCCTCCCAAGAAGCACACAGGATGCAGGTCACCACACAAGCTGATGTCCTGGTCACATGCAGATAGCCCTTGTGATTCACGACAACATGGCTCACAGAATCTACCCAACCCAGGTAGGCTCCCACGTCAGATGATGCCAGCACTGACGCAATGGGCTGTGCACCTGAAAGTCACCGGACGTCACAGTTTTTACATTCGGTTCACTGAGACAAAAACTTCAGCAGTTCTGCAGTCAGCAGGGACAACACAAATCAATCAATCAGGTGCCATCTCCTTAATGAAGGTTGGCTACAATGGATCTCCAACACACTCAAGTCTCTTGTCTTTGTTGTAAACACTTTCTTAATCTTAATCTGCTTTTCATCCATCTCTTGATGTTGTGCTTACACTTCTACGATTGTCTACCTCTTGCCTTCAACTTTTCTCTCCAGTAATCTTAACAAATACTGATGATTAAATATGACCACTGGATATGACGGATGAATAGCAGCAAGAGAAGTGGGAAGGGAATGAGGAGAAGATGCTGTAGAAGAAAAGGAAGAGGAGGAAGGTGAGGATAAGGAAGATGAGCATGAGGAGGAAGATGGAACTAAAAGAAAAGTATTTCAATCACATGAAAAAAATACACAGAGTATGAAGAAAACAATCAAAAGTGACATTAATGAAAGCTTGTTTTACAAAAACAATTAATAAACAAAAAAGGAATTAAGAAGGCTTGGGGAGAAGACGGCTGATTCTTTAGAAAACCTAATCTGCAAAATGTAAACAATGATGAACAATCTACGAAAGACCTGGTGTGAGGTTGTTGAGAGCCTATGCTGGATTGGGAGATGCATGGCAGAAGAGGAAGCTGTGAAGATACTCACCTGTCAAATCTTGCAAATAAGGTATCTTCTGTAGTCCCAGTCTATCGACAAACAGGATACTCTTGGCCTTGAGCACAGCCTTCACCTTGGGATGAATCACCTTTTGGCACAGCACCAACCCAACGTTGCATCTATCCAGGCTGTCACACAACTCCAGCATTTTGTCCAGCACGCAACTTTCCAAGGAATCAGACTGGTTTTGGGTCACCTCAAACACTGCATCAACAACCTCCTCCACGTCTCCAGACATTGAGCAAGTGAACAAGGCTACTCTAATACCACAGCCACCCCTACTCCCCTCACAGGTTACTGACCTCACTTTCAAGGTTAAGTCTACAGAACCTCCTACAACTGGTATTTCAGCAAAGTCTAACAGTAGCCCATGTTCTAAGCGACTCTCACAGATATCTGAGTTTTCAGTGCCCAGAATATAAACTCCGTCTGAATGTCGACTCTTTCTACTCAAATTCTGCGTTGGAATGGATTCAACAAATGTCTTTACAACAACTTCACTCAGTCTAGTGTTTTCAGAATTAGTTAAATTCAAAATACGTTTCGATTTTAGAATGCTTCTCACATACGCTATTAGAACATACACATTAGAAAAGTCTGCTTTCAGGGAAATCGTACAATCAACCGACTGCAAATAATCAATAATAATGCGAACATAATTCTCTAACAATGAAGCCTGACTGTGGAAAAGTCTGTCTGCTACGAGGGATAATTTAATTATATGGAGACACAGGCAAGACATAAACAGCCCACAGTCTTTGTGCTGCTTCAAATGTGATTGGACGGCTGCCAAAATCAACCTCATTTCTGGCCGAGTCATGGATAATGATGACAGCAGACGCACACATGTGGAGGTGAAGGTCACATGACCGCCACAGTTGTTGCGTAATACATGGATTTTCCCAGAGGGTCCTGCACAGGAACTAACTAGGTTGAGGAAGATATCTACTACTTTCTGTACAGTGGGAGAATTGAGGTCAACAATATCCAAACGAGAAGGCAGAATCCTGTCTTTACAAATGACTTTTGAAGAATCCATCTGCAAATGGAAATAAACATATAGTATAAATTATAAGAAAAATCTGAACAAAGAAAATACAAACAATAGATTACTCAACTGATGAACACAAAAATATTAGTAGATACAAGCAACAGATTACTCAACTGATGAAAGCAAAAATAGTAGTAGATACAAACAAAAGATTACTCAACTGATGAAAGCAAAAATATTAGTAGATACAAGCAACAGATTACTCAACTATGAATGCAAAAATAGTAGTAGATACAAACAAAAGATTACTCAACTGATGAAAGCAAAAATATTAGTAGATACAAGCAACAGATTACTCAACTGATGAAAGCAAAAATAGTAGTAGATACAAACAAAAGATTACTCAACTGATGAAAGCAAAAATATTAGTAGATACAAGCAACAGATTACTCAACTGATGAAAGCAAAAATAGTAGTAGATACAAACAAAAGATTACTCAACTGATGAACGCAAAAATAGTAGTAGATACAAACAAAAGATTACTCAACTGATGAACACAAAAATAGTAGTAGATACAAACAAAAGATTACTCAACTGATGAAAGCAAAAATAGTAGTAGATACAAACAAAAGATTACTCAACTGATGAACTCAAAAATAGTAGTAGATACAAACAAAAGATTACTCAACTGATGAAAGCAAAAATAGTAGTAGATACAAACAAAAGATTACTCAACTGATGAACGCAAAAATAGTAGTAGATACAAACAAAAGATTACTCAACTGATGAACGCAAAAATAGTAGTAGATACAAACAAAAGATTACTCAACTGATGAAAGCAAAAATAGTAGTAGATACAAACAAAAGATTACTCAACTGATGAACGCAAAAATAGTAGTAGATACAAACAAAAGATTACTCAACTGATGAACGCAAAAATAGTAGTAGATACAAACAAAAGATTACTCAACTGATGAACACAAAAATAGTAGTAGATACAAACAAAAGATTACTCAACTGATGAAAGCAAAAATAGTAGTAGATACAAACAAAAGATTACTCAACTGATGAACGCAAAAATAGTAGTAGACTGCTCAAATGATTGCCTGACATATTTGGCTCTATGTCATCAGGTCCCTACCACAGCAACAATTGAAAACAATGAAACAAACAAATAAATCTTTTCACTGAAATACAAAATCAGCTACACTTAACTACGCTTTCAGTTACTATGGTTCTCAATTTCTTCCTTATTTCTTCTTCTGCCTTTCTATCCCCCAATGGAGCATAGGCCCTCAACCAACTCACGCCAAGTCGCTCTATCCTTCGCCATTGCATGGAGCTCTTCCCATGTCCTCCCAATCTTTCTAACCTCGTTCTCCAGCTCTCTTCTCCATGTGTTTTTTGGCCTTCCTTTATTCCTATACCCCTGTGGGTTCCAATGCAAAGATATTCTAGTTATGCTGTTATCCTGTTTTCTCAGTGTGTGTCCTATCCATATACTCAACTTTTATCGTAGTTTGCACCTGAAGAGAGACAGCCCAAAAAATGTGCAATCTATTCTTTGTTCAAATTCACAACTGGGAAACATGACTTTGATATAACAACTACAGAAAACTATAAACATTAATTAGCAAGTGCCTGTATAAAAAAGAATCAGCATGACACAATCACCAATATGAGGCTCATGACGAAAATCAGATGAGATCCAATAAATCTAATATTATGCATCTCTCATGTGCCCATAACTTTCCGGTCATAAAACAGAATGTCCTATAATAACATTTAACATGTTTTCACAGACAACAGATTTATCACAAAGATAAAGAACAGGACTGGCAAAAACAGCATTTTATAAAATCCAGATTAATAAATCTTTGACATGAAAGATTAGAACAAACTGGCATGCTATACAGAGCCAGTTTAAAAGTTGGATGTGAATCCTACTAGACAAATGATAAAGCAGCCAGACAACTTCTTCAGGCCTCGCAGATGTGGTTTTAGCGAAGAATGCTTAACATTTCTTGGACAGCCATAATTAGTAATCCAGGTGTTTTTAATAAACCACGGGCCTGAAGACAACTTTACACAAACATCAGATGGAGGAAGTCATAATTTGTGTGATTGTTATGAGAAGAGAGAAACTGAAACATGTTGTGACCAATGGAAAGATATAAGATTGTAAAACCATATTTCTGCTTCTCCGCAGATATCCTTTTACGTTTTGACTGTCCATGATTCACTTCTGTAGATCAGGGCCGGTTCAGTATAGTTCTGAAGAACTTTCTCATGTCAATGTGTGGTTTCTTCGACCCCACTGCATAGAGGAAGGATGGAGGAGGGGTGAGGGGGACAATGCACAGACCTACTGCCCCCCCCCCACCCCCAACAAGGATGTCGTAAGAGTCGACGTATCAGAGATATTTTCTTCCAAGTCTGAGTGTATCTGCCTGATAAGCAAGGAACCAACAGTCTGCATACAAATAAGTGAAATCTGTAAAAAGGATGTGCGCGCAAAACTCAGCTTCTTGAAAAAGACCACAAAGTCCAAAGGTGGATGAACAACTAGAACTTTCCGACGGAGTTTACAGCCAGTGAACGTAAAGAAGAAGAACAAGAAACTAAGACAAACCATAAAAAATATGAATGACTTCATGAAATGCTGCTGTTGCTTGGGTTATTCTACTATAAATAACTTCTTGAGTGCATCTGATACAAAAATGTCTGCCCCAAATAGGTCAAATGTAAACAAAGGATCCTGTCTATCCCAGCAGCAAATCTCAAAAATGGTGCTACATGCACATGTTTCCCCATAGGAGTGGGGGGGGGGGGGGTGTTTGGCCCCATTGTGGGAAAACATGAGTAGATCCACTGCCTAACCGACAAGTATGTCGTATGAGTAGTATGTCGTATGAGTAGTATGTCTTATGAGTATTATGAGTAGTATGTCATTATGAGTCGACTACATGGGGGCTTACTTCAAAGTCAGAGTGCATCTGCCTGAGAGGCAAGAAACTAATAGTCGCATACAGATAAGCCAGACCTGTAAAATCGATGTGCACGCAGAACAAGACTAAAGAGGTGGACAAACAACCAGAAAATTCTGTCAGAGTTTACAGCCGGTGACCGTGAAGAAAAAGACTTCTACTTGTAAAGACCAACAGACCTTTGACGGGTAGTGTAGTGTAAACATCAGGCCAGCTGCCTTTACTTCCCAGGACTTTTCTGGTACCAATACTGACTGACTTTCTACCCCACTAGGACATCACACAAGCGATAAACACCCGATGACACAATGTGCCACCATGTGGATGAGGATCACTGTGGAGAGGTCCCAGAAACTGCGTTTAGCTATCAGGCTATATTGCGGCCCCTAGCAAGAGCCAGAGTAGGGCTTCAAATAAAAAAAATTGGACTCCTAAAAAGGACGGGAAAATACCAATACTGACCTCTAATCCCTAAAAGTGTTAACTCTTTGGTTGTGCTTGTGACTGCAGCGGCTGTTCATTACTTGGCCACTGCACTCTTGTACTCGCTGTTGGCGGATCCTTTCCAGAAAAAAAGCCAGATAAAAGCACAGATCCCGTCACAAAGGTCAGCAATGACAAGAACTTGTTTTTATAGCTCCAGGTTGCAAGTTTCATGTACGCTGCTCGTATCTTGGGTTTCCTGTGTTCAGAACAGTTTAAAACACAAATATTTATTTAAAATCACCAACATATTTTCAGAAAAAGTCAATGTTAAATTAAAACAATTCAAGATGGGGAAAAGAACCGAAAGGATATAAAAGCACACAGTGAAGAGAATACAACAGATAAATAACATCAGCAGATCACGGAGGGAGGTGCAGAAGACAGGAGTGCATGAATGAATGAAGGACTTACATCATGCACTCAGGAGCACTCCCATACGAGAATTTTTCCGTACTTTACTTAAACTCCAATGGAGGAATTTAAAAAAAAGACAGAACCAAAAACAAATTTGGCCAGCGACTAACGGAGTCGGTATAGAAAATCCCTGAGTACAGGCTGAGTTATACTAGTCTGAATGTGAGTCTAGTTCAAGTGTGATTATTCTAGAAACTTTGAAAGCACTGTGGTTTATTTTGTGCTCATCTAACAATGAAGAGCTCTCACAAACCAACCAGAATGAAAGGGACAGTACCTAAGAATATCAAGAACAATTGCACCATCAATATATAAATATAACAAAGTAGAAGCCACTAAAAAGTACTATATACGAAGTAAAAAGAACAGTCAATTCCAGGGACCTCTTTCTGCCCTGACGTTGCAAGGAGTAGAGAAAAGAACAACAACACTGAAGCTGTCTTGTCTCTTCAACATCCAAGTTAAATATTTTTTGTAAGGTTTTTCTATCTTGTATTTAACTCTGTCCACAACAGCAGCCTATTCTTTATAATTTCTTCTTCTTTTCTTTTTTTTCATCTGCATTCACCCTTAAAAGTACCGTTGTGGTTTACAGCTAGCTTGTGATATCTGCACCTTTCAGCCTTACAGATCAGATTGCAGAAAATCCTCAATTAGTCGTCTTTTATGACAGCAGCAGTGGGTCTATTGTTCCTCTTTCCCATAAGGAAAAAAACAGTCAAAATGGGGCTTTAGATTACACAAGGACAAACAGTTGAAATAGCCTGATGTTACAGAATCTAGAGAACCTGTGGCAGAAGGGAACATGCGGTAGAAGTGAGCATGTGGTAGAAGGGAACCTACCCTGGAAGGGAAGCTGTGGTAGAAGTGAACCTGTGGTAGAAGTGAACCTGTGGTAGAAGTGAGCATGTGGTAGAAGGGAACCTGTGATAGAAGTGAACCTGTGGTAGAAGGGAGCATGTGGTAGAAGGGAACCTGTGGTAGAAGGGAACCTGTGGTAGAAGGGAACCTGTGGTAGAAGGGAACCTGTGGTAGAAGGGAACCTGTGGTAGAAGGGAACCTGTGGTAGAAGGGAACCTGTGGTTGAAGTGAACCTGTGGTTGAAGTGAACCTGTGGTAGAAGTGAACCTGTGGTAGAAGGGAACCTGTGGTAGAAGGGA